TGTCATTCTTCTTTCCCTCTTCCACAGTATTCACGAATTGTGCGAGAGGCACTCTGTGAGCTAGAACTTCCATACATCCTTCAAAATGTGGGTGAAGGGTCTCGACAGACAAAACTACTCCTTGATGCATCTGGATCCAAAGAGGTTAGCTCCTGATAGATTATCTGACCACCCGAGTCATCGCTTGAGTTTAAATTTCCTCATATTCCATCGGTGGTATAGGATTCACTGGCTCATGCAAAGAACCATCAGGTCCTATGTGGAAATATCAATTAGACTTGAACCTTGGCTAGACTTTGAGCAGAAACCTGCTAATGGAAATGAAATTACGAAATAAGAGGAATTTACTTGCAAAGTATTTCCACCTGACCAGTAACAGAGAGTTTTGTTGTGCTTTGCAGGTACCCTATATGATCGATCCAAACACAGGGGCTCAAATTGGTGATTACAAGAAAATATTGACTTACTTGTTCAAGACATATTCAGTAGCTACTGTATAGTTTTCTGACCTATGTTGCTCTACCTCTTAAGAGTATGTAATTACTGTGGTAAGTGACAATATAAATGTTTCGATTTTAATGTAAGTGTAGGAGAATTGAAATTAATGTTGTTAAAATATTATCATAAATATGTAAAAATTACGATAACAAAGACATGGTAAGATAAATTAAAAATAATTACAATGAAAATTAATATTTCACAAATATTGTGGTAATAAATAATAATAAAGATAAGAGTCCTATAAAAAAAAGAATAAAATTTTGATGGGCAGAGAATTTCAACGCAGTTGTGTTCCAGGATGCATGCTTTCCGAAGAACTTGAAGAAGTAGACAACTGAGCCCGCAGATGATGAAAGCAAATTGAGTAACGAATATGGTCTACTTTACTGTGGTCATTGCCATACCAGCCCAGCCGCCGGTCCTTACCGTTCAAATTCTCTAACGCAGCATCAGGTACCACTATATTAACACTTTGAGCTCAGACCTAAACCCAAAGCAAGTGAAAAGCAGCAAGGAGAAAGAAAATGGCCGCAACAGCCACAAGCAAATCCCTCCATTCTTACCCTTCACAAGAATCCCTCTCATTCAGCTCCATAACCAAAACCCACAGCTTGAAATTCTCCAAAACTTCTTTCGGCCCCAGGTCTCATCGTCTTCGCCTTGCCATAAGAGCTTCTTCTTCTTCTGCAACCCTCAATGACCCTCCTCTTCCAACACATAACAGTCTCGATCATCAACTTCGGGTCCGAATCCTCTCTGAATCTCTCCCCTACATCCAGAAATTCAGAGGCAAGACCATCGTCGTCAAATACGGCGGCGCCGCCATGAAATCCGCTGAGCTCAAGGCCTCTGTTGTCAGGGACCTCGTCCTTCTCTCCTGCGTCGGCCTCCGCCCCGTCCTCGTCCACGGCGGCGGTCCTGAAATCAACGTCCTTCTCAATCAGCTTAACATCCCCGCTCAGTTCCGTGACGGCCTCCGTGTGACCGACGCCAGGACCATGGAAGTTGTTTCCATGGTCCTCGTCGGCAAGGTCAACAAGGACCTCGTCTCTCGTATCAACTTCGCCGGAGCCACTGCTGTCGGCCTTTCCGGTATGGACGGACGCCTTTTAACTGCCCGGCCTAGCCCAAACGCCGCCCAGTTGGGATTTGTTGGAGAAGTCGCGAGAGTGGACCCAACAGTCCTGCAACCGCTTGTGGACATCGGACACATCCCGGTGATTGCTTCAGTGGCGGCGGATGAGTTTGGGCAGCCTTACAACATCAATGCGGACACGGTAGCTGGTGAGGTGGCGGCGGCGTTGGGGGCTGAGAAGCTGATCCTGTTGACTGACGTGGCGGGGATTTTGAGAAGCAAGGAAGACCCTGGGAGCTTGGTGAAAGAGATTGATATAAAGGGAGTGAAGAAGATGATTGAGGAAGGGAAGGTTGGTGGTGGGATGATTCCAAAGGTGAATTGTTGTATCCGATCGCTAGCTCAAGGGGTCACCACTGCTAGCATTATCGATGGTCGTGTTGAGCACTCGTTACTTCATGAGATTATGACCGATGAAGGCGCTGGCACCATGATCACTGGTTAACTTATAACTCTACTCTTTCTTCTTTTGTGACTCGTCCTACTTATTGCAATGCAAGTCTGAGTTACTCATTGATTTTCCCTTTCATACATTGCTGCAATCTTCAATGCCTGAAGCATTACCTATGGTTTTTGTATCCATTCCTGAACAATGAGCACTTGCTAGTTGTATCTTGTGTAGCAAGAAGGGAATAATGGAAGCTGACCATATAAATTCAAGAAGGGAATAGGCAATAATGTCAGTCACATCTGAATTGTATAAACAGGATTGTGGAAAATGAAATCATATATGGATATGTTATGAATCTACGGGCCTGCTTTCCTACCTTGGAAGCATGACAAGTATGTGTACACAGGACCTTTAAACACTAAGCCAGAGTTAAGAGTTGATTCCTATGATATGAAAGATTGCAGGTGGCTGTTGGTTGCATTGAGAGAGAGCTCTGTGATCTGTGGTAACTGAGAGCAATTGTGAGTCATAGTATTTGATGCATGAGAAGTGCAACATTCATTGTTCATTCATCCAGAAAACGTGAATAGGGTTTGTAGTATTAGCTTATACATAGCAGCAAACATACTTGTTGATTACCAAAGGCGCTGGGCCACCGGAAGATGATGACCAAGTGGCAACAAGGCTAAAAGAATAGGATTCTTTGAGTAAAGAATAAGAGTTATGGCTAAATGGAAGTTGGCATGTCCATCCTATAGAGAAATAAAAAAAAAGAAGGGTATCAATAAATTAAATACAATTCTTTTTTTTCTGGATATTGTTTAGAATATAAATAATAAAAAAATTCTATCATGTTGTGTTTCTTTTATTCTTCTCTATTTATTTATTTTTTTTCTATGAAATTAGTTATTCATTGGGCTTTTGTTTGAGGGATTAAAAATAACAGTGTTTGGTCCCATTTGGTTCTGCATTACACCTAATATACAAAGATATGATAAAGACACAACGATTCCAAATATATTAACATTATTCCTCCCTTTTCCACCCCAACTGACCAACCAACGAGCAAAGTTGGGCACGGGGAGTGTTGCTTCCTCCATTACTCACAAGTGACAGATAACTTGCACTTCTCCATGTTCACCATATAGACTCTTGGTTTGGATTTCGACCACTGCATCAAAATGTGCACTCTCCTTGACAATTTGGTCATCAGGTGACACCGAATCATTATCCCACAAATCTGTTGCTGGTGTTACCACGGCCGAACGAGTTAAGGGAATATAATGATAGTCATGCACTAGACGTATTCACCTGACTATTTCTCCAACAATGTGAAGGACGTGGATGACCCCTATTGACTTGTGAAGCTTCGATTGTTCCATGCACTTTTGCCCACGTTTCACTATCCCCGTTGATCAGCATAACAACGACAAAGGATGTGTTCGTTGTCGGGGGATAAGCTATCAAAGTCCCACAAACTGACGCTGATAATGAACACATCATCACTTGAAATAGCAGTGAAAGGGCCTGTCAACGTGACAAATTTGTTAGGGCCTTTGCTCTCATGGTCGCTTGCTCTCATGGTTCAAAAGTCTTTGACCTTTACCGTTCCGTAAAGATGATCAAGATTTTCACCATCAATATTATTCACACGTAGACACTCGATGCTCACTAAGGTACGCATGTGTGAAACATTTGTATCTGCATTACGAGCACTACCAGCACCAACATCAGCTTGGCTTTTCAAGCGGCTGCTTGTCCGCTAGACATACGGCAAGATCCCAAGTGCGGCATTGGCTTGACCTACAGCCCAAATGTTGGCTGGGTTAGGGTCCGGGACGTTAGGCAACGCGTACTCTCTCTCGCGTAGAAAAAGTGCCGAAGGGTTGCTGCAACAAGACAAATTGCTAAGTGAGTGGTGCGGAATTGTACCAGTTTGTGTTATTAGCAATGTGCTCAGTGGTTAATTGAAACGTAGTAGATTCAGCAATCATCTGAACTAGAACCAGCGGTGCTTTAGCACAATTCTGCAATGCATTGTTTTCGTTCGAGGTCTGCTCTTCCGTTCTTGCTAGGATAGCAATGGCATTTCTCAAATTGTGTAAACCCAGCTAAAGATAAGGAGTTTCACAGGTGATATCTGTTGGAGAAGATTATAAAAAACAAGAAATATAAAATAAAATAAGTAAAAACAATAAATGAAAATCTGAGACGTAATGTCACTGTCTTTTAAAAATAATTTTTACCTTTTTAGAATATAAAACTCGGTACAAAAAAGACTGTAGCGATTATCCTTCAACAGATTTTTCTTTAGTAATTTGGACAAACTATTAAGGGAAGATAAGAGCAGCAGAAACAGAGAAAAGATCCAGCTATTGAAGAAAGGAGGCGAAGAAGATAAGTGAAGAAAACTCAAAAAGTGAAAAGCTTTTGGTATGTAATGAGAGTGAAGGTGTGAGGTTGTATTTATAGTCATGGATTGAGATAAATGTTGTATTAAATAAGGTGAACGTTAAACCAGATTAAGGAGAGAGTTGGTGTGTGATAAGAGTGAAGGTGTGAGGCTGTATTTATAGGCATAGAGTGAGATGAATGTTGCATCAAATAAGGTGAATGTTGAACCAGATTAAGGAAAGAGTTGTTGTGTGATGAGAGTGAAGATGTGAGGCTATATATATAGACATAGAGTGAGATGAATGTTGCACCAAATAAGGTAAACGTTGAACTAGATTAGAGAGAGTTGAGAAAAAGACTCAAGGAGAACTAGGTAAGCTAGGTAGAGTTTTAGTATGATTCAATCAAGACTGAAAACTTTTAGGTAGAGTTTTAGTATGGTGAAGAAGATAAGTGAAGAAAACTCAAAAAGTGAAGTAAGCTAAGTAGAGTTTTAGTATGTGTGATGAGAGTGCAAGCAAGCCCATTCCATTTTCCTTACTTGCAATAAGCTCATAATGTATTTTCATATATAAGACATTTATCTTTCATATATAAGGCATTTATGTTTCATATATCTTGACAATGTAGGATGTTTGAACTTTATAAAATACATTATTTTCCAACAACATCTTTGCCAGTAGTTAAATTGTGACCATCCACATGGCTTTCGCTATATGAGAGAGATATTGATCAAAAATCAAAGACGAATCCGAAAACTCCCAAAACATTACACCGTCATCTCCGAATGTCCATGCATATATAAATTTCTCTGATCGATTCTCAAGATGATAGTGGAATCACCAGCAGATAGACCAACGTCTAACCAGGTTAAAGGCTCTGTCTATGGCACGAGCACATCAATATCATGTGATTTGCGGTTTGAGAGTATGGATCTTAAGGTTTTGATAAATGTTCTTGTAATCATCTTCGTCAACATTATAAAGAATTGAAGTATGCCCATTTGCCATTGTTGATCCCGTCTTCTTGTTCGGCCATTAGAGCAAGTGCTTGCTACTTAAATACTGACCCATGAAATCCAAAACAATTTGTTGCCTTTGTTTCTAACCCAGGTGTCCGCCTCACGGACAAGTGCCCTGCCACGTCTTCATGTTGTTTTTACTACTCCCCATTGTCATCTCTGGAAACACCTCCATAGTATGATTCACTTGCAAGAAAACATCTGTTTATATTACTTCAAAAATGGATGTAAATATTCTGTCATATTACTTCAAAACATGTCATCAGATAGTTTACAAATGCTCACAAGATCATTTCATTAATCAAACAAGTCTCGCCTGCCTAAAGCTCACATCTAGGGATGCTACAGCAAGATGATCACACCTACTTTGAACAAATTTCTTCCGAAATTCCTCGAATCGGCCTGCCTTGATTGCTTCCCTTATTGATCGGAAAAACCCCAGAAAATGGTGCGTGTTATGTCTGCAACATCAAGTGAAAACCTGTGAGTATCGGGATAGAGAAATCCTCACCAGAAAAGATAAGTTTGTTTTCAACAGTGAGGAACAAACAACGATCAATACAACTTCAGAAACGGTTATATAACATGGTGGGAGAGAAGAGAAGGACAGTACATTTCCAGCAGAATTTGGGCCAACATTTCATGAACATTGAGTAGATGATTAATGTAGGCTCGGGTATGATTTTGGCATGTATAACATACACAGCCTTCGACAATTGGTGTTGTATCTTTCCTGAATAAGGTAAAAGCCAAAAAACAAACATGAGATTGTCAATGGAATTTACCAAATTTCATTAGAGAAAAACATAAATTCCCAGTGAGACGCAGATGATTTGTTGTATGGCTAATATGGATCCAAAATGACTTATCCACATGCATAAAACATCTTCAATCAGTTAGAAAGTGACAGCAACCAAGAAATTCAACACCAAGTGATGTAGGAAGTATAAATGCATCCACATAGTATTTGCCTTCTCCTTTTTTTTATTTTATTTACAGTGAAATCTAATAGAAAGTATAATTTAAATAATGAAATAAAAGATAAAATTTTCATGCCAAATGGTTCCTCTAAGTAATAATGTATTAAGATAAGCAGTTCATATACATTATAAAACTATCACCTCTAATCTTTTCCAATGTAAAAGAAGAAAGAACAAAATAATAGAAGCAACTAAATTGATGCTATATTCAAAGTATTCAAGTTCCAAAGAAATGTAAGCAACATTTAGTAGATCATTCAAAGATGTAAAAAAAAGAGAAAAAAAATGATACAAAATACCAATATTCCTATGCTTCATAGGAAAGTGCATGATAATAGAAATTGTTATAGAAGGCATATACCAACCTCCACAAATTATAAAAGTTTTGAGATATGAATAAAAACTATCAACCTTTAACCTGAGGCAACCATTTTTTTTTTCAGCAGTAGCATTATTCTTTAAAAGCAAGAAGATATCTTGTAAATTACCTAAACACTGTTGCTCTCAGATTAATTTTTCTGAGGTCGCTTCCTACATCACTTGACGCAAGATTGGATGCATTTATCTCCATGCTGTCTAGCGGAAAGGTAAGTGCAAAGCCTCCAAGTGTAAGATGGTAAATATACCTGTAAAACAGTCACAGAAAATTAACTTCAAGTGATTAGAGAAGGGAACAGACAGGTCAGATGATGATAATACATAGTGAAGTAAGCTACATACGTCGACTCAAAAAGGTCAACACCTGCAGCAACACACTGCAATATTTCCTCTGTGAAATCAAAAAAGAAATTAATTTGTGAAGATGTGATTACATTAAAAATCAATATAGTAAAATTATAAATGTGTTTCCGGAACATAACTGTGCCAACAATAATAGAGATGTGAATCCACACTGCTCCACATCTAACACCTCTTTTTGCCCTTCAAAATCGACTCTCATGATGACCAGAAGAAACCCCCCACCCCGACAGAGAGAGGACACAGGGAAAAGAGAAGAAAAACATAATGAAAAAGGAAATAATAGATACAATGTGAAGAAAACAGAAATTAATTCGATACCTGGTAGTCCAAGCCCGCATATTAACCGTGGCTTTTCCTCTGGCAAAGTTTCCTGAGTATTAAATAATACTGTTAGAACTTACAATTACGAAGAGAACATAGTATTGCCACTCTACTGCTGCAATTAATCCAGAAAATATAAACTTGCCAAGCCAATGAGCATAGTTGCAATTTAATTATTTCTCAAACCAGGTAGGAAACTCTGTGGAACTACCATCCAAAATGAGCCATAAAGGATGCACCTTGTGACCATCCATTGGAGATTGAGTTATTGAGAGATTTTCGAGAATTCTGTGATTGAATGATTGAGTTTTCCCTCTGTTGTTAGAAGGTTCTAGGTTTGCTGTTAACAGCACGAGAACATCACCCATAAAACTTTCTTCTAGTTTCTCTACTGTCCAGAAACTCCAGCAACCATTCTAATCTTCTAGCCTTCGTTTAAGATAAAATGTCAATTAATTCATATCCAAATTGGTTCTTTAATCCTAACCCTAATTCCAATCAAAGCCACAAATCCTAGAATTCCTAATTTTTCTAGCCCTAGCTCACCATAAACCCTACATAGGCAGATTACCCCAAATGTGTGTCCTACATCATTACCCCACTAGGATGGGATTCCAACTAGAAAACTTACTAATGAACAAGTGAATAACCAACTTAGACTCCAAGGAAATAACCTAAGCTCTTGAAAAAACTAAAGTTGACAAAATAACATAATAAACAGCGTACAAAATGGACAAAATTACAATTCCCCACCCTGGAATTCATAATATAAATAAAATCCTAAATTGGTCCACGAAACTTGTGCAACAAAGGGCAATGAATTAAGAATTTCAATGGCTGCATCAATTAGCCTTAACCTTGGTATATTTTGTGCTTATGACTATATATTTGGTCCTTTACACCAGAGGAAGAGGCTCACGCTACCACACTACTGTTATCTTACAAACCATTTGTTTTTTACAACTTTTGTCCTGTTTAATCTACACATCTGAACATTATTGAATTTTCAATTATGTATTTTATATTAGTATAAGTTAAACTGATTACTTTTGCCTAAAATACGGGTTAAGTTACTCACAATGACAGCATTAAGCAAAGCAGGGCGCTCATTCATGCTCTCCCCAAGCCCAAACCCTCCAATCCAATAACCTGCATAAGTTATATTCAAATCATTACTTTACTTACTCGTCACCCAAAATGGATTTGCAAAGCAAAATAAACACATTAACAATATGAACTATAAAAAAAATGCAATCTGAAAGACCTAACTTTCAAGGTAGCAAGCATGCATATGCATTATGAAGAATGGATATACCACTAACCCATGTGTACTGGAGTCATGCACGTACTGGAGTCAAGCAACAGACTGAGTGTTTTAATTTTATAGCATAAAGAAGAGTCCCATTCATCGATATACCTGATACATTTCTCCTCGCTACCTCTTGGGCACATCGTTGTCTTTCTTCTAAACTAGATCCTCCAACAATAGCTCCAAAAACAGCTCCACCTGTCTAAAATTCATGAGTTAATACAAGCTCATATCAATCAGCCTAAATGCCAAAGTGCATGTTTGAAAAGCTATACCAGTGTTATTTTGGCATAATAATTATTCAATAAATTTAAAACTAAACCCATTCCATAGTAAATGCTGACAAATTCATAACATTCAACCTAATATTTGCTTAAGCCTTTTGTCTACAATTCCACATAGACAGAAGACGCTAGCTATATATTCCTTAAGAAGGCACAGGTCATAATTTCATTAATCAAAGCCCACCACGGTTCCAGTAAGTACTTATGAGAACCCTTAGCTTGTTCCTATCTTCAAAAAAGCAGGACTCTCACATTATCTACCTACTTAACAAATAAATATCAGCTTCAACTTAAAAAAATCACATTGCTCGCAATGCTAACATTCTAGTGAAAATATGGTTTGATCTAAATTTGTCAAGACCTTGTATTAAGCAAGAATAGAGTAAAAGGAGAGGGATGGATCAAGAGGATACAATTATCCTCTGCTTTGATAGAAAAGGAGAGGAAAGTAGAATAAAGCAAAAGTCTTTTGTACTATTGCATCATACATTAATCTGGAACAGTTAGCAAGAGAAAATTTTTGGGGCAAGAAATAGATCACAAGAAAGAATTATAAATGGGAATACTTTACTCTCAAATCTTTCAGGTTTGAAGGTACTTAAAAGGGGGCTTTTGCAGGTTCGGGCAGATTTGATTCACACCCAAACCCTCTGCTCTGCTTTATAAAACAGGATAGAGCATAATATTTTTTAACCACTTTTACTACCTTCCAGTCCACTCTCCCTTCATCCAAGCACACTATCCAAATCTTCAAAGGACATTCATGAGGTCTCCACCCACACAAACAATACAACTCAAGTCAATTGAGGTACGATCCAAGACTAGTTGGTGGTGGCAATGTGAATCAATCTTCTCCAACGCAGTTAAAAGCTGTCCTCTAAGACATCCCAATGCCAAATCCTTGTTTCTAAATACCTCAACCAATTGATCCACCTCTATCTCTCTTTATTGTTTCTACTTGAATCATATTAATTTAACATTCTCACAAAATGACTTCATTTCTTTTGGTCTCTTCTTGCATCATGAGACACCCATATTAACATCGTCATACAAGCTAAACTCATCTTATGAACATGCCATTCTAACTACCCAACAGCCATACAGGATAGCTGGACCTATGGCTACTTTATAAAAAAATCCTTTCAAGCCTGCTGCCATCTTATGATCACACAAATTCCTTGTAACACTCTATAAACCATCCTTTTC